TGGGTGACTTCGGGCGGCGAGGGGTGCGACGGAGTCCCGGGCGGAGCTCGCCTCTGCCTCGAGCAGCTGCGGTCTTTCCCCTGTCGCCCCTTGGGAAGCCTTGTTAGGCGTTTGTGCCCTGACTCACCCCCAGGAAGTTACCGAGCAGGATTGTTTTTGAGCCAGGGTCGCGCTATGACAAACTGACTTGAACTCGCTATGTAGCCCCGTTTGGCTTTGAGCTCTCAGCGATCTTCCTGCCTCGGCCTCCTGAGGCAGGGATGGGATCACTGGCGCCAGCTGGAGGAGTTTTCCAGCGAACGCGTACTCGAAGTCCACACGGGCCGCGTGGGCAGCGCGAGAGTGGGCCGGTGCGAAGCGTGTGCCGGTGCAGAGGGACTGCGCGGAGTCGCGTCCCCACTGCCTTCTCAGCGCCTTTCTCAGCGCCTTTCTCCGCGCTGGCCGTCGGTGTGCGGCCCCCTGAGCCGCCTGGAAGTCGGGCGGGCGAGCGCTGTCACGCGGTCCTCACCCGTGGCGCAGGTTCGCTGGGAGCCGGGCCTACGCCCGCCGCGGGGTTTTGACACACGGACCTGAGCCTCGAGTTTGACGAGCTAGAAAGCTAGAGGTTGAAAAGTGTATTTTGAGGGCTGGGGTTGTAGCTCGGTTATGCGTGAGGCCCTGAGGTTCAACTCCTAGCAAAAAACAAGCAAAGAAAGGAGGAATTTTGAATTTTATTGGGCCAGGTTTTAGAGTCCAGAATTGCCTGGGTGTTCTGGGGCGTCTAGACTGAGAACGTGGGGGAAAGTGTGGCTGTCTGCTGGACGCCCCAGGCCACTGGGACAGGTGCCTGCCCTGGAGTGCCGTGGAGAGCTGGGGAGCTCACTATGCCCACCTGAGGCCCGCAGGTGGTGGAGCAGAGCTGGGGGCCCTGCCCCCTGGCCCGTGGCCTGAGGGTGGTTAAAGTTCGCTTAGCGAGGCCGGCCCTGTGGGAGCCCCCCCACTTCTGGACCCAGCAGGGGCTTCTAGAACCTTCCAGGGGATTTTGCCGGAAAGCAAGAGCATTTGAGTCCCGGGGCTGGCTGAGAGCTTCTGATGTCATTAGGAGAAGCTGGCTTTGAAAGCTCAGAGGCCAGCTCCTGGTCTGACCAGATGAGAGCTTGTGGGCCCCAGGGCAGTGCAGCTGGTTCCCTGTGAGCTGCAGGTGAGGAGCGGCCTTGCCACCTCCCGGGACCGAAGCAGGTCATCTCTCTGTTCCTGGGCCTGGGTATGTCTGCTTGGGATTCATGCTCTTGCCCTTGGAAAGTGATTATTTTCCGGTGACCACACATTGAAAGCTCTGTATACTTACAAACTTTTTATAACTGACTGACTTTTGAAAAACCTAGGACACAGTTGACCTGGTGCCCAGAGCAGGAGGCAGTTGCGGGGGACTGCTAGGTCCGCAGGCCTGTGCTCCATAGGGACTCTGGAGGCCTCCTGACTGTACTTCCGGTCACTCCACCTGTCTGCGTCCCACTTGGTCCTGGCCACAGCTGTGCACGCTTTTGCTGGCTTTGCCCTCAGCCTCTCCTGGGCTCTTAGTCTTGCTGAGTTGCCCAGGCTAGCCTCGAATTTGTGGTCCTCATGCTTCACCTTCCTGAGTGTGCCACTGAGGTAGGGTAGGCAAAAGCCAGAACGGAAACGAGGAAATTGTAACTGAAGATTGTACTTTTTTTTTTTTTTTTTTTTTTTTTTTTTTGAGACAGGGTCTCACTATGTAGTTGAGACTGACCTGGAACTCACTATGTACCCCAGGCTGGTCTCGAACTCACAGCGATCCTCCTGTCTCAGCCTCCCCATTGCTGGGATTATAGGTGTGCGCCACCATGCCGGGTGTGAAGATTGTACTTTTAAGAAGACTGCAGCTTCCAGGACCCAGTGAAGTTTCCAAGGCCATCCACCTTGGCACTCCTTTGAGTAAATTTAAGCTCCTACCCTCCGACCCATCACACCCCAGAGTCCTCAGGAATGCCGAGTCCACATGGCCTTCATTGTGAAGAGCAGGAGGGTCCTGAGATAAACTAGCAGGTTGTGCAAATCCAGCACCTCCTCCCAAGACTGCCCACACCTGTAGCGCGGGCCAGTGCCCTGGGGTGGGCACCCGGCTCCCAGGTTTCTATCCCTTCCAGAGCAGCACAGCTGTCCCCACCCCAGGACACAGCGCTCTGGATTCTCTGAGTGCCTCACTGCAGTTTGTTTTTGTTTTTTGAGACTGGGTCTTGCTTTGCAGCTCAGGCTGGCCCTGAACTCACTATGTAGCCCAGGTTGGCCTTGAATTCATGGCAACCCTCCTGTCTCTGCCTCCCGAGTGCTGGGATTACAGGCGTGTGTCGCCATGCTAACCTCACTGTACGCTTGAGTGGTTCCAAATCTGTCTGATGAACTCTCCGTGCTTCTTCCTGATGCATCCTGAAAACATTCCTCAGCAGGAGTCATTGAGCCTGCGGACTTCTGCCGACTTCTGCTGAAAGGAGGGTTGGTTCCTAATTTCAGCCTGGGGACCTCTGGTTGATAGCGCACGCTGTCCCACTGTGCCTGCCTCCCCCCAGGCCGGGCAGGGATCAATGAGCTCCGGCAAGCGCTTTGGCGCCAGGGTCTGTCCTAGGCAGGGACCAGCAGTGGACTCTGCCCCCTTTCCTCTGGCCTCCCTTGGTCCTGTGTGTCTGTTATGACCTATGCTCGTGACTGGCTGCCCCGTGGAGCTGCTGACCGTCTGTCTGGGTGGTGGTGGCAGCCTTGGTCCTCCTGGGTCCGGGTGCGATAGAGGCCTGCCCAGCCTGCCCTTGACATCAGAGGGGCCCAGTCCGAGGCTGTGGACACCACTGCTGCGCTTGGTGGGGACGGTGAGTCACCCTTGGATTCTGAGTTTGGTGTCTTCTTGGTCTCTTGAAATAGCTGTGTCACCTGCAGCAGAGACCTGTGAGGCTCAGGTGTGGCCAGCAGGCTCAGGCTTGCTGTCACTGAGTTTCCCTTTGGCCAGGCTGCTTATATGTGGCAGGAATTTTACTCTCCTGTTTTCACCAGTTGTATTCCCTTATTTTATTTTCATGTTAAGTTGCTGCTTGAAATTTGAAAAGTTTTTTTTCACTAATAATCCTGTTACTTTAACAGCCCACTTTCTGAATACGCACATTGGTTAAAGTAATGAAGAACTTCTGGATCATTAATATTTTGAAGGGTGCAGGTTTAAATTCTAGATGTGGTTGTGGGATTAGCAGTTTTCTTCCTGCTGGCCTGAGTGTGAGCCTCCCAGAGGCGTGTGGAGCCGTCCTTGGGCACAAGGGTGGGATGGCCAGGAGGAGCAGTGATGTCAGGCGGCGATCCGGGGCTTTTGTGTTTCACCTTGCTGTTTATAATGCGATGCCAGTGGGCTCTGTGTCACTCCTATGGCAGGGAGAGAAGTACCGGGGGGCGTTTGTGGGCAGAGGTGGCCCTGACACCAGGCTGACGGCTGGCCTGTGACGCCAGAGGTGGGACTGGCCAGGTGAGGCACCTTGGCGCAGACATGCGCTCTTCTCCTGCAGGTGGTGCTCCGAAGGTGTCACTGTTGGCGGCCGTGGCCCAGGACTCTTGCAGAGGCATCTGCGGAGCCCAGTACCATGGTCTCTGTTGAACCACGTGATGCACCTTGCCCAGTTGCACATCCCATGTGGAGTGTGCACAGCTTGGGGGTCCTAGGGCTTGGGGGAAGATGTTGCTCTGGGGAGCACAAATGCTTGAGGGGTCCACATGGGGCAGTAGGAGGTGGTCTGCCCAGGAGGGGGGTGGGGGCGTTTTGTCCCCTGCTGTCTGGATTGGCAGGAGGGCAGCAAGGCAGGGGACTGCAGTGAAGGTGGTGTGTCCCACCCAGACCCGGTGCCCAGATTGTAGGAGCTGCCCAGCAGTGAGTGCAGTGACCCGAGCCCTAGCCTGGCCCGTCACCAGGGAGAAAGCCCAGGCAGGGCTGATCCCGCCCCATGGTGCTGTCAGGGTGCACCAGCTCTGATGGCCTGGTGCCAGGCAGGAGGGCCGAGCGCTCTTGCTTGGTGAGTTGCAGTGCGGCTGTTTCCGGTCCTGTGTCCCATGGGCTTTTCCACCGGGAGGGAAGGGACACGTGGCACAGAGGGAGTCATTGGAGTCTGTAGTTGCAAAAGCACAGAGGCCCGCCTTTCTGACCACTCTGGGTCACTCCAGCCTAACACAGGGCTCAGGGACCCTGCTGAGGGTGGGCTGTGCCTGTCACTTGTCACGCCCGGGCCTGTCCTGCATGGAGGTGCACACCAGGGGCCCCGAGGAGGGGGCCTGCTGTGGGGGGACCATGCCAGGGACACAGTGGCCTCCATTTGGTTTCCTGGGGGCTGCCTGGAGGCGGGCTCCCTTCAGAGCCGGGACCCCGGGTCTCCCAGCCAGCTGCAGTGGCGGGGGACACAGGCCCAGCTCAGTGGGACTCAGCCATCTGATGCCGCCTCAGGGCTACTCCTTAGTCCCCAGCAAACGGCAGGCCTGTCGGGAGCACAGCCTTCCCATCAGGCGTGGGCTGGGGGGTGAGTGTGTCCGTGGAGTGGCCCCGTGGTCATCAGGGTTTCCTGCTGGGGTGGCTGAAGTGGCTGGGCAGCCTCCTCTGAGATGCGGTCAGCCAAGATGGCCACTGTCCTTGGTCCCTCTGAGGAGTGGAGCAGGCAGCTGTCCAGAGAGGGGCCTGGGTGGGCCTCTGTGTGACGCCACTGCTGTGAGTAACTCCAATGGAGCAAATGTGCCGGCCCTGGGCAAGTGGTCTACACTTGCTCCACGGTGACTGACTTGAGTTTGAGGCACAGGCCCCCTGCTGGCCTGCATCCTCTGGCTGTGGGCCCAGCCGCTGCCGTGGTCCGCGTGGGGAAGGCCCAGGCTCCACTTGGACCATCAGGAAGCTGCCAGGTGGACTGAGTGTGCTGGGCTGGGACCCAGGGTAATGCGCTCTGCCGTGGTCCTCTGCTGAGGGCGGGAGAGGATTGCGCCTTAGGTCAGAGTGACCCTGCTGGCTACAGGATGGGGTCCCTAGCATAGGCTTCCTGGAGTGCTGGGTGTTGCTAGGAAACCGCGCCTCCGCAGGACTCAGCCCACAGGGCAGGGCCTGAGCTGTTGCTGAGCCAGGAGGTGAGACCCTGGCCTGGGCCATGCTGCCCTGGCACCTGCCTCCCGGCCCGGCCTGGTCTCCGGGCTCAGCCGCAGAGGGCCCCAGGGACAGAAATCTTGTCTCCGGACGGCCAGGCCAGGAGCCCCAGCTGTGGGCCTCAGTGCCCCCTCCTGGAAGCATCTCCAGGGCACCTGCAGGCCTGGCACCAACCTGCGTGACCCCCTGAACCTGAGCTCTGCTGTGCCTCCTCCAGACCCTCATGGCCCTGTTGGTCAGGGCACCCACAAGATGAAGTGAGCCCCAGAACGGTGTTTGTCAGCTGGAGGCCCCTTCTTCTGCAGATTGCCTTTCTTCCTTTAGGAAGTGGGGTGGCTCCTGCTCCTCAGTCCCCGGTGTGGAAAGTCACGACCAGCTCTCTGCGCTGATTGGCTCCTATGCTACAGGCCACCTGCGTGCGACAGAGTTTCGCTCATCTCTCGGCCGCCTCACCCACAGAACCGGGTCTTCATGTCTTACTGTGCTCTCTCCTAGTGCTCAAGATGCATGCAGTGTGACACCAAGTTCGACTTCATCACCAGGAAGGTGAGCGGAGGCTGCGGGAGGACGGGAGCACTCTGCATTCAGGGCCGAGAGAGCCGAAAAGGCCTCATTTCCCAGTTGGGGCGACAGGGCCATGTGTGCTGGGGGTGCCTGGGCCCTCACCGCCCCTCCCCGCTGCCAGCACCACTGCCGGCGCTGCGGAAAGTGCTTCTGCGACAGGTGTAGCAGCCAGAAGGTGCCGCTGCGGCGCATGTACTTCGTGGACCCCGTGCGGCAGTGCGCCGAGTGCGCCTTGGTGTCCCTGCGTGAGGCCGAGTTCTACGACAAGCAGCTCAAGGTGCTCCTGAGCGGTGAGCGGCCGGCAAGAGACGCCTGTCCTGTCTCCCTTCCGCATCTCCTTCCGGGTTCTTCCAGGAGCTGCTGAGGCACCGTCTCTTCCTGAGGCTGAAATGCTGTGTGAAGAGCCAGTTCCGGCCTCGCTGAGTGCGGGCATCCCTTCTCCGGGCAGGAGCTGCTGTGGGCAGTTTTGTGGCGGTGGCCCGCAGAGACTGGCGGCAGTAGCAGGGCAGACCTGGGCTCTGAGCCCCATCCCAGCAGCTTGAACACTCTGGCCGCCAGCGAGCTTCGTGCTTTGTAGCGCTGCCTCCTTCCTACCATTCGGGTCCCGTCCTGGCCAGCTCCTGGAGTAGGGGTTATGTTCCTTATTCTGGCCATTTGCGATGAATACCCCTCTCCTTTCTTTGGTGTGAAGTTACTCATAGCCGCTTTGTAAGCAGCAGAGCGTAGCTACAAAGCAGTGAGTGCCCTTTGCTATGCTTCTTAGATCCTTGGCCCAGTACAGCCTGTTTGCTTGGCAGAGCTGTTGTAAGTGTCTCGGGAGGGTCAGCCTGGGAGGGAGAGTGTGAAACTATGGCAGGGCACCTATGGCACAGTGGGTTCTTTGTGTCACTGAAAGCACTAAAAGGTTCGCTCTCATTGGTATAGAAGCCACAGGTCACATTTGCACATTTGCTTTTATCTCCCAAGGAGCCACCTTCCTTGTGACTTTCGGAAACTCAGAGAAACCTGAAACCATGGTTTGTCGTCTTTCCAGCAACCAGAGGTAAGAGCCAGAGTCCTGCGAGGCACTGGATGGCACTGTCAGGGCCTGCGGGCTGCAGTGACACCATGGAACGAATCCTTTTGTTTGCATAGATGCTTGATTCTGGACGGAAACAGCCACTATGAAATTGAAATCGCACACATCTCCACAGTGCAGATTCTCACCGAGGGCTTTGCTCCCGGAGGTACAAGCTGTGTCCTTCCTGGGCAGAGGGTTTGGGGCCACATGCCGCCTGTGTTCAGACCCTGTGATGGCCTGCCTCCCTCTCTGTGGGTCATGGTTAGTCCATGGCTTTAGCTTGAGAACTTACCAGGCAGTGGGACTCTTGTACAGGATTTCATTCACCGCTGGGTAAGGCTTCCATGCAGTAGCCAGGGTTCTCTGAAATATCTGGCGTGGAGGCTGGTGGGGAACCTGATACAGCTCCTCGCTGAGCTCCAAGGCACATGCGGGTTGACCTTCCCACTGGACGGCACGCTCCACTCTCTGTGCTCCCAGCCTGGCCTGACCCACTTGCTTTCTGTATTCTGACCAGCTCTTGGTTCCTTTTCTCCTCTGCTGCCTTCCTTCTTAACAGAAAAAGACATTCACACTTAGAAAACCAGCCTCCTGGGGAGCCAGCCTGGCTCTGAAGGTCAGCCCGTCCTCTAGCATGCTGTGGGCTATGTCCCCTTTGGCCACTTGGCTTCTGTCTGCGGGTGTGATCTGTGCCAGAGTTCCTTGCCGCTTCTTTTGGTTGCTAGAAGAGATTTTGTCTGATATATGGGCCTGGGACAAAGTATCCCAACAGAAGAAAACTTGCTGTCCAAGGGGTAGCCTGGTAGTTGACGGCCCTGAGCAGGCCGGGGCTGGGGTGCAGGGACGGCAGCCTTCTCACCTACCACCCCTTCTTGCTGGCTCATCGTGCCCTTGCTCTCAGCCTCCTGAAGTCAGTGTTGTGCTGCCTGTGCCCTGAAAAGGAATGTGTATGGGCACCGGGCTGAGGGCACCCGCTGTGGGCTCAGGCTCCAGAGAAGGTGGGAGCTGGGAGCCTGCGGCTCAGGGTTGCACCTGCCGCAGCCCTTCTGAGCCACAGAGAAGGCGGTTGGGGACAGGGCCTCTGGCCCGGTGCTGTGTGCACAGCCTGTCCTCGGCTGTTCTGTGATGCAGGCCTTTGGCTGCTATCATTGTGACTTTGGGGACAGTAACCCTGCTTTGCCCAGTGTTCTCTTAGACCCTCCTGAGACCCAAAGCCCTGTCTTCCTGTGTGGATGAGCGTGAGGATGACGTTGCTGTCCTCGCACTGGCCTCGGCTGTCTAGAGGGGGCCAAGCACATGTGCACCTCAGGGTCAGAGCCCTTGACAGAGGGGCTGGGTGTGTTCCAGCAGAGGTCCCCTTACAGAAGCGGTGGTGTAGAGTCGGGGTGCTGCTGCAGGGTTCAAGCAGGAGCCCAGGCAGCGCAGACCGGCTTGGGGTCCTCAGCAGGGTCCCTGGGCTTTGGAAGCAGATTGGGGCTTCTGAAGGGGCAGGCAGGAAGCCACTAGTCACAGCACTCCCATGTCAACCCTGGCTAGTCTGGCCTGACCCTGCTGGTTCCATGTAGGTTCTGAGTGCTGTGAAAATGGAGCTTGGCTCCCTCAGAAGGAGGTGGAGGCTGCACGGTAGCTGGTCTGCACCTCCAGGAGTCTGTAGCTGCCAGGGTCGGTCGGGTCCCTGAGACTGGGGTGGCTGGGGATTGTCCCAGTGGGTGACCCTGCACGAGCCTTTGTGGTGTGTCAGGTCTGGGCAATGCACATGATGGGGTGGACCCCGGTGTGACCTGTGGTAAGGCGGCCCCTGCACTCCGCACTGGCTGGGGACAGGTGTTGTCTGAGGCAGGAGCAGGGATTGCATAGCACGCAGGAGGCCTGTCCAGAACAGGGCCCGGGGCTCTGTGACATGGCTTCGTAATTTGTCCCTCCTGGAGGCACCAGGCTAGACCTGTGAACTGGGACCTCCTGTCACTGTGTCCCTGGGCAGCACAGGGTCGGGGGACAGTCCGGTCACCACTGACCAGGGCCTTTCTGGGCCCTTGGTGTCTCCCCTAAAGGAGGCAACGCCCGGGCTGCAGGCATGTTCCTGCAGTACACCATGCCAGGGTCGGAAGGCGCCGCCCAGCTGAAGCTGATGGCTGGGGAGGATGCGAACGCCAGCAAGAGGCCGGCTGCAGCATGGCTGGCAGCAATGCACAAGGTACTGCACCTGGGCAGCGGGGGGACTGGGCCACACGGCTCCTGACAAGGACCCATGCTTGGCCACGCCAGTACAGAACCTGCCTGTCGTGCTTTGCGTTGCTCACTGTTGACCATCTCGCAGGCCACCAAGCTCCTCTATGAATCTCGGGACCAGTAGCTCACGTAGAGCGGCCCCTGGAGCGTCTGGTCACTGGGACCAAGCTGCTTGTCTCACTGGGCACCCCTGGCTGACCCTGCTTGTGCTGGAGATGCAGTTCAAGTATTCAGAGATGCAAAGTGTTCACTTAGTGCAATACGTACAGTTTATTAACGCTTTCAACGGCTTCTTCTTTAGTTGTCTGTTACCCTGTTGGTACCTAACTGGAGGTGGGAGGGATGGAGCTGCACTACTGTGGAACATGTGCCGTCTCTGAGTTCTGGGGTCACTCGAGGACTGGCCCAGCAGGGTCCTCACGACTTCCCCAGGACCATGCCTGTGGGAGGCTGAGCCACCGCGCGATGGCTGGTCCAGCACTAACTGGGAGCTGCGAGCAACCCTGTACCTTCACTACATGGAAGGCACCAGCGCTGTTTTCTGCTTTTCACTTATTCTCTTTATTAAAATGGTGGTAGAGCAATTTGTATATGAAGCATACAATTAAAACCTATTTTGAAAATACGCACCAGGCTGTGGCCTCTGTCCAGTATCAGGAGCCCTGGCGGGTCCTGTCAGCCCAACGCAAGACTCAGTGGGTGTGAGACAGCAGTTTACTGTCCACATTGCCACAGCACCATCGTGTAGTCACTCTGTGGAGTGATGCTGCCGTGCTGCACCCACGATCTCCACGCGTCTACACAAATTACACACAAGACCACATACGAGAAGGAAAGCCTGGGCCTGTGTTTTAATGAGGAAAAAACACTTCCAACAGCTCTGGTAGTTGAATGGTCTAGGTGGAAGTCATCTTGGTGGACAGAAGGACTGTCCACGGTACAGGCTTGGGTGGTGCCTGCCTCGCATGGCATGCAGACTGGGACACAGTTACCATGTCCCGCAGGCCCGGCCCTGACCACCCCAGCGCCAGACCCCAGGGCTTCAGCAACCCGTGGGAGCGAACTCAGGCTGTATAGCCAGAGGCTTAGGAAGCAGGGGATCATGTGGACTGGGGCAAGGGAGACTGGCTTAGGGCCAGCAGGAAGCAGAACGCCCAGGTCCTGTGGGGGCCTCCGGGACACAGGCATCAGGCAGTTTCCGGCTTTCTGGTAGTGAGGGGAGGAATGGTGGAGAGGGTGAGCAGGGCAGGGCGGTTCCACAGCCAACCAGCGGACGACAACAGGGCTTCTTACTGGCGGCAGGGGTGGGGCTCTGAAAGCTGAGTATTTATTTGGGTTATAGTAATTGGCAAAATTCAGCCTTGGAGGCAAAAGTATCTCTCCCCATTACAGTCAGGCTGGAGAAAGGGCAGGGATTCACATTGTGGATGCTGTCTGCCGAAGTGAGCACCATGAGGCCACCCCAGCCACAGCTTCCCGGAGACAGCAGAGTCTCCTCTAGCAGCTCCGGGGTCCTGGAGAGACAGACCATGGTGCTCCGTGCAGAAGTTCAGGCCAGTGTTCGTTGACGGGGCTTGATCCGTGGGTACAACTGCAGAGCAAGAGATCCATGTCAGGGCTGGGAGACCTGAGCGAGGGATGCCCTCGGCCCAGGAGGCATGCACTTGTCCTTCCTTCCCCAGGCCTAACACTGCTGTTCCCTCTAGGCCGCTCTCTCTTAACCCTCGCTGTCCCCCTCCCAGCGCACTAGCACTAGAAACTGGCTGTGCTCAGAGGGAGGAGGGAGCCCGAGAGCACCTCGGCAGCCCTGCGGCGGCGGAAGCTGTAGCCTAGCTGCCTAGAGGAGTCCGCTGTGAGCACAGGCAGCGGCCTGGCCCAGCGGGGACCACACTGCCAAAAGGTACCTCGGTGGGTGTGGGAGGAAAGCTTCTTACCCCCAGCAGGTTTTTGGGCACGTAGCCCTCCCGGTCCCCGAGGCGAGCCCACCACCACTCAGTCTCGCTTTCGTCCTTGCGCCTCAGGACGGTGATGGCGTCGCCTTCATGGAAGGTCAGCTCGTCGCTGTTCTGGGCCTCATAGTCCCACAGGGCATACACCACGCCTTTGTTCATCACTCCCAGCTTCTCCTGCACCCCTGGGAGCAGAGAGCAAGTCAGGCCCAGCAGAGACTGGTCCACGAAGGAGCCCACGAGGGCCCAGCCATAGCCCCTGGCCCACAGTGCACAGACGCCATCTACGTCCCTGCAGACAGCAGCCACCCCAGTACCCAGGGGCGGGCTCGGACTCCGCAGACCCAAGTCCTCAGGTGCTGGCCCTTCACAGAAGGCAGTGGTGCCTCCACACATCCCCGCTAAACTCGCAGTCATCTGAGTGACTTCAGTAATGCAATGAAAATGCCAGGCAGACTGGCTACGCCGTGCTGTCAGAGAATGACAACACAGTCTGTGTTCGTGATAGTCACGACTTTTTTCCAAACACTTCAGTCTGCAATTGGTTGACTCTGTAGATGCAGAACCCGACTGTACTTCTGAACTCCTGTGCCCGGGGTGGGTGGGTGTGGGTGTGTGTGTGTGTGTGTGTGTGTGTGTGTGCGCTGTTCTAAGAGGTGCTTCTTAGGATGCCACTAAACAAACTCCACTTGGAGCTGGGGCTGCTGCAGGCGGCTGGGGCCAGGTGCCCAGGGCAGGCTGGAGTGAGTGTGTCCCAGGAAGAGGCCAGCGCAGTTCCTGCCTGTGGACTCCCGTACATAGTAGCTTCATTAGGGTGTGAGCATCACTCATCCAATGCTTCACAGGACAAGTGACCTGCTTCAAGCCCTGGTGCTCCCGGCAGCGGATGTGCATCAGTGCCACTGCCCCCACTTGCCGGGCCCTCCGTCACGGCATGGGTTTACACAGGGTTACAGAACAAGAGGAAGGGCAGTGCGCCTTCCTCCACAGCGAGGCTTCCTGCCTGGCCTCAGGCTCGTAGCATTGCCATGGTAGCACCTGGTCCCTGAAGCTACTCCGCCTCCTACATACCGTACAGAAACTGAGAGCACTGGATGTAGCCTTCTTCCATCTCCTCACACTTGTCCGCAGCAGTCTCGATGTCACTGATGGTCGAGGCGAAGATGGCCGCGCCGCTCTCCACCAGCTGTTTGCAGAGGTGGACGCTGTTGCAGGAGGCGGCGCAGTGCAGGGGGGTCCTGGAACCAGAGCAGGTGACGCTGCATGGTGCCACCCACGCTGCCCGCCTCCTTCCCATGACGCCATCTAGGAACCCCTGTGGGAAGGCTTGCTTTCTACTGACTGTCCTGGGCCACAGGCTCAGTGCACGTCAGTGCCAATATGTGCAATGTGCTGGAATGAACTGTGCAAACGGCCAAGGGCTACCCTTGTGTGCATTACCCAAGTGTATTCCAGCCGCAACTGCAAACGCAGGCGTTCAAATACAGCAGAAAGAGCTATGTGTAAGTCCAAAACAGCCCACAGCAGGCTGCGGCAGGACCCTGGTCCCACAGGCAAGGGAAACCACATGTAGACACCTGAGTGGCCAGCAAGGGGTTTCTGGTCACTTTCCACATTGTCACACCTGTGAGTCACACAGGGCATCTGCAAAGGGAAGAGTGAACACTGAGAACATGCACACAGGGTCTCCAACCAACAGTCCAGGGAAGAAGCTGGGAAGATGTGCAGCCACGTGCCAACAGCTAGGACGCAGAGGTGCTCCTGCTCTTTCTCCCCTACCCCCAGTTTTCTAAACACGCATGTCCCAAGAGATGGGGGACGGGGAAGAGGAGGTAAAAAGATTGAGATGTGCTGTGTACATGAGGAATGCAGTCATGTTCTGCAAAAACAGACTAACACTTTGTCAAGCACGTTTCCCTTCCTGAGGTAGGAGAACGAGTCTGCCCCCACACCCCAAGGGCCTCACCATCCATCGCTGTCAGCAGCATTCACGTTGACGCCAAAGTCCAGCAGGAACTTCACGATGTGATGGTGGCCAGCACAGACAGCGTTGTGCAGCGGGGTGATGCCCTCGTCGTTGGGCTTGCTGGGGTCCTCCACCTGGGATGGGCGGCACATGAGAGGCTGGCACCCCAGACTATGTCTGCCCATGGTGCAGCGCACAGCTCACCTCATAGATGATCCTCTGCACCAGGTCAAACTCGCCTTCCAAGGAAGCATCCAGAAGCAGCGCCAGGGGGTTGAAGCGCACTCTCAGCCCGTGCCCAGTCCGCTCTGAGTTGGGCTTCTTCAGGTTAGTTCGCTTGCTCTGCAGGGAGGAAATGTGCGTTCAGTGTCCAAGTGGCCCTGGGTGGAGCCAGCTCAGACCACTCACTGCTCCTCTGTGCTGCTGGCCAAGGCCACACCTCAGGGAGCAATAGCTCAAACCAGCAGAGGCCTTGCCAGGACTCCCCAAGTGGAGCCTGAGCCCCGCAAGGGGCCTGTCCAGAAGGCTCCCTCCTCCTCCACCCACTCCAGGTTCCTATGGAAGCCCTCAAGGCACCAGGCTCTCTTTCTTCATGAGATCACCTGACCTCCCACCCCCAGCCTAGCCCCAGGCACAGGGATGTGCCTGACGCTCACACAGCCTGGCCAGGCAGGGCTGGGCGAGGCCAGGTGTTGGTCTTGGGAGGACACCCACCGCAGAGGCTGCTGGAGGGTGCAGGACAGGGGGCAGAGCTGCTGGAGGGGCTTGCTCTTCTGCTGGAGACGGAGCCTCGGCCAGCGGGCTGGCTATCTGCTCGGTGCAGGGCACCGTGGCTACATTGTTGTTAGCATCCTCCGTAGGCTCCACAGTCTGGCGTGTCGTCTGCGGGCAAATGAGTTCCTCTGGGTCTGGGGAAGGCAACTCATTGTCATTGGCATCTGAGGAAGGGGCAGGCTCGTTGGGCAGGGGGGCTGTGGGCTGGGCAGGTGTGGACTCATCCAGGTTGCCATTGGCATTGGTATTTCCATTGTCCACGTCAGCCAAGGTGCCCACGAAGTCCTGGGAGGGGCTGGGTTGGTAGAAGGGTGTGCCCTCCATGCTCCCTGCCAGTGTGTTGAAGCGCTGGTACAGCAGCTTCTGGATGTTGGGCCCACCGGGGCCCTCGGGCTCTGTGATGGAGCTGCGCTTCTTGAGCGGCCGGGGTGCGTTGGCCAGCTTCCTGCGCAGGGCCTCCAGGTCTGCGTCACTCTGGTAGCGCAGCGGTGAGTGCACGATGGGGGTGAGCTTGGTGGGGCTTAGCGGCCTGGGCAGGCTCTCCACTGTGCTGCCCTCCCCAGGTGCGGCAGGGCCCTCGGGCTCGGGCTCCTTCTCTGCACACTCTGGAGTCGGCTGGGGCTGCGGGGGCCCGTGAAGAAATGGTAAGGGCGATGGGGACGTCGACCCTGACGGTAGGACAGGCTTGCCATACACTGAGGAGACAAAAGACGGGACACTTCAGCCCAGGGGCTGGGATCCAGTCCCCGCGCACCGACTACCAGACTCCTGCTGATGCCTGATTCCTGTTCCCAAGGAAACCTCTGCCAAGAGCCCCCGCGGGCTCCTTTTTAAAGGTGTTTCATGTATTGGGTTTTATATCTTGTGTTTCCAGAGTTAGGCTTTTTTGTGTGGTACTGGGGTTGAACCTAAGGACCTTCAAGCTAACTCCCCACCCTTTTTACTTTTAGACAAAGTCTCACTAAGTTGCCTAAGCTAGGCTTGAACTTGTGATCCTCCTGCCTCAGCCTCCCAAGCAGCTGGGATTACAGCTGTGTGCCACCACACCTGGCTTGAATGGGGCCTTTTCAAAAAAGAAAAGGTTGCTGATCCTACTTTTTCTTCTCCTCTCCATCTGCTCCCCCAGAACCAGAGACTGAACTCAGGACCTTGTGCTTAACAGGCAGGCACTGGCATCACTGAGCTAAATCTCTGGCCCTTGATCTGACTTTTTCTGCTCCAAACAAGCCCACCTTGCTTTCTGGCCAAGGCAAAAGAGAAAAGCTCTAAACTTGTGTCTGAGACCTAACTCCGATGATGTGAAGACACCCGTCCAGGGAGTTGTGACACGAGGCCCAGGTGCATTCCCCAGAGCCCTGCCTGGATGGTAACAGTACAGCTGGCTGGCCACACCCAGGAACTCCTCAGCCCTGGGTCTGGGCACTGCAGCTGAAGCCCAATCCTGCCAGGAGAGGAAGTCCCCACCCCAGGCCTGACCCACAGTCTTCCAGACTCCTTTGGGGTGTGTAGGGCCCAGCTCCATTCTTTACCTGCCTTAGAAGGGCCTCAGCTCCCACACCCATCAGGGCCTCTCTCCCACAGGCCTGGGAGAGGCTCCTGATTGGCAGAGGCCCTCCTCCCAGTGCTCAGGCAGCTACCGGCCCCAGGGACCATGAATAATGAACAGGAGGAAAAGCACATTCCTGGAATCTCACCCTTCCAGGGGCTGGGTTTCCTAAGTAGTATGGGGAGCTGTGATCCGTGTGCAGAGCAGCTCCAAGTGTCATGTCTCCTCATCTTGTCTCACACACTAAGGCCTGACTTTATGTGACAGTCGTCCCACATGGCGTGTGGCCCACATGGAAGGATGTGGACTTGTATTTTTACTGTGCCTTCCTAGCCCCAAGGGAAGAAGAGCATAACCTGCCATACCTGCTTTCACTGACTTGTTTAAGGTGCTGTGCATCGCTGGCTGGTAGTTCTTAGGTGGCGTGGCTTGTTGGAGGTACATGGAGTATATGGAACTTGAATTTACTGTCTGGGGTCCTTTCCTGGGAGACTGTGGCCTTGACCCTTTATCAGCCAGAAAGGGTCTAATAGCCACTGTCAGAGGGAGTTCAGGTTTGCCATCTCCAGCTGGAAACGCAGGTGGCCCTGCTGGTGGGTACGTGGGACTCGGTGGCACAGAAATCCTCTGCTGAATCTGTTGCGAGGAGCCAGGCTGGGGGGCGCTGGCTGCTGGGGGCAGCGGGGCGGGTTTCTGCCGACTTGGCAGGCTGGCTCCAGGCCTGGGCAGGTTGCCCTCTTTCCTCCTCTCCAGGGAGCTTGTGGAGCCTGGGCCCAGAGGTGTGGGGCTTGGGTATGTCCCATAGCTTGGAGGCAGTGGTTTCCCTATGCCAGGGATGGGAGGTGGCCCTTTGCCAATCTCGATGCCCTAAATTTAGGTGTTAAGAAGAAAGACAAAGTCACCCTTTGAAAAGTTAAGCGTATTTCCACCCATGGCTACAAGAGAACACATAGTAGGATTTGTAATCCTGCAAACTGGTCTGTGACTGGGACACAGGGCACATGTGGTTGGCAAGACTGAAGCAAGAGGCCAGAAGTGCCTGCTCATGTGCACGGCTCAGGCTCGCTGAGATCTGGACACACTGTAGTCACTAACCGGGCTCATCAGAACTTAAGACTCAGCAGAGAGCAGTGTTAGGCCCGCGCTCTGTGGTGAGGACAGCAGCCTACCAGCTTCTCTGTAGTTCCCAGGGCTGACAGGGGCAGAGGTTGGCTTGAGATGGCACCCTGCTTCAGTGCTCCCTCCATGCCCGGCTCCTTCCAGTCCGTGCTGGCCATCTGTGCTGGCTTTCCCGAAGAGCCGGGACTCGGCTTCAGTGTTGGCCAGTTGCCATCATTAGCTTGAAAAGAACATAAAATTTTAACTGAAAATTTTCCTGAAATAAGGTGAACCAACATAAAAACAATACCCCCTGCAGAAATGAAGGCAGCACTGCGATTTTGTGCCCAGAGGAGCTCCTGTAACCAGAGAGCGACCACCACCCAAGCCGGGAATGTGCTCAGATGCCCACAGGCCATGCCCCAACCAGAGTGTGGGCACCAGGGCACATCCCACCAAAGGACAGGTCATGCCTGTTATGGCCGTGCTAGATGCAACAAGTGTTGGCACTCACTTCCAAACCCCACTGACACATGCAACTGCATGCTGCCAGAGGAAAGATTTTTTTCACATTGTAAGGTTTGTCTTCTGACTTCATAACAGGTCTGACCTGTACTACATCCACAATGAAAACTGCTCCTCTAACGTGAGGAATTCCTTTCACCTAAAAGGATGTGTGTCCTCAGGAGGACAGCACAAGCTCCCACTGAGCTGGAGAGCAGGAGAGCCGGAGGAGTGGCTATCATTCTGCTGCAGTGATCTGAAAGTCAGTCATCAACCCAAGATGCCAGGAAAGCCACCGAGAGGATTTGCTTTTACAGAGGATTTTCCAAACTGACAAAGGGAGCTGGCACACTACTTGGTCACAGAGGGCATCCACCGGTTGCTATGTGCCCTGATTTGCATGCCTCTGCCCTGGCCAAGGCTCTCTGCCTGCCAGCAGTCGGGAACCACCAGTCCTCACACCATGCATGAACCAAACATCTAACTACTCACATGTTGAGAGTGAGCTTTTCAAGTGTGCTGTGCTACCAGGGAGGGCACAAACAGGGAGCTGCTCAGTCTGCTCCCAAGCCACCCCTAACCACAGTGGCACTGCCACCCTGCCATGTTCCCTGCTGCTGTTACTGCCCTCCTGAGCAGGGCTCCAGGCAGCAGGGCTACGCAGGTCTGCCAGGCATTCCGAGGCCCTGCACCAACTGGCACCTTGCTGCACACAGCCTGTGGCCTCCATCCGGCCACAGTGTAAGTGCTTTCACTGCCCTAATTGTCTCTACACCCAGAGGAAGTGTGAGCCCAAGAAACTCACCAGAAGCACTAAGACAAAAAAGTGGGCCGATGGGGAGAAGCAGAGCCCATCTGGGCCCTCGAAGGCTGGGGCTGGGGCTGGGACTGGCCAAGGAGCCTGGATTTCCCACCCTCTCAGGGTCACAGGAAAGTGGCTGCCCAGCAACTTCTGAAACCCCAAAATAACTGATTTTATGGAAACCAGCCGTGGGGAAGAGTTAGAAACAGCCTTCCTTCCTTTGGAACAAGGTGGAAGGTATGGAAGGTTACTTACTTTTACTACAAAGGGGCATTTTCTTTCAATTGTGATAGGAGATTCTTGCCCTAATAATAAAACTGAAAGCCTCAAACTGAACTCAGAAAATTACGTTAACTTTTGAAAAACCAAAACTCCCCACAAACAAAGTCCTCGCTGTGCTAGCACCTGTCACGTGTGTCCCTCTTTTGCGGGGCTCAGGTGCGGGCCCTACCACCCCCGCCAACTCGGCACCATTGGTGATGGAAGGGATCCATCCGTGCAGTACTGTTCTCAAGTCTGTATGTCAAGCAGACCTTTGTCAGTTTGGAAAACCAAGTGATTACTGATTCAGCCCATTAGAGGAAACCACGAAGAGTCTCCTAAGCCTACTGGCCGACATACGGTTTACAAGGAGGGTGGCAGATTGCCATGAGGGGCCGCAGTCGGGCCTGACATCCAGGTCTGACACCGTCCACATGCTGGTCACTCTGGGTCTGCTGTGGCCATCTGTGTGAGACATAACTAGGAAAGTCGGCAGCACGGGGTTAGAGTCCCTTCCTGCCAGGGTTGTCACAACCAGCTCCACAACTCAGGCAGACAGGTTTCCTGTGGCCAGTCACTGCACACTCAGTGGAAGGCCCAAGATGGGGCCCTGGGAGGCTCAGTACAGCGTCATCCTCTGGCAACTGCGAGGCAGCCCAGTGCACACCACAGAGAAGGCTGTGCGAGTGGGAGACATCCCAGCTCTGGAACCCTAACCATGAAGCCAGCAGTAAAAGAGCTGCTCGTGCTGTGTGCCACTGGGAGGGAGGGAGAGAGAGACAGACAGAAACAGGGACAGAGACAGAGAGAAAGAGACAGGCAGAAACAGAGTGAGATGGACAAACAGACACAGATAAAGAGTGAGACAGAGGGAGAGATATAAACAGGGCTCATGCCCATGAGGCCTGGCAATGCCCTCCTCTCCGTCAAGAAAGAGCCTTAAGTCCCCCAGTAGGAGCAGCAGTGTCACCTCATACAAGGTACCAGGCAAGAGAAAGTGACACAAATGAAACACCAGCACAGGTCGGGTCACCAATCCCGAAAAAAGAACACAACAGGATGAAAGCAGCAATGCTGCTTTCTTAAACAACTGTTGTGGCATCAGGACCTGGGCTCCTGTGGCTAGTGTCACAGGGTATGAGTCAGGCCCAGCCACAAAGAGGACCCTGCTGTGAGGAAGCCTGGGCTTCCCAGCGTGCTGTCGCCGGTGCCCAACTTCATGCAGTGCTGCCCCACACACAGCTGTGCAGAGACACAGCAGTGTGTGTGAAGCAGGAGTGGCCGGTGGCCCCTTCAGGCCCAGTTGTGCCTCGATAAAACAGCAGGCCCAGTGCAGGGGCAGTGAGGCATCCACTTGGCCAGAGTACCCTTGGGTATACAAACCTGTGCCAGAAGGGCAGTGCTTTAATCCATCTTTGCATTTTGAAAAGCCATGGTAGAGACCCTTTTACAGTAAAGAAATGTCTTCTCATTTTAGGGTCACTGTTCCCACGGTGACAAAGCTTTCCCAACACTGCCCCAGGAGACTGGGCCTGGAGCCTCACATGGGCAGGCCCTCAGGAGCCTGGCCCTTGTGCTGCCAACTGTCCCCATGCTCTCCCTACCCTTGCGCTGGAGCCACTCACCAGATTTAGATCTCCCATGGGCAGCACCTGAGGCAACTGTGAGAGACTGGGGCTTCACAGGGTCCCCTGGGACAGGGTAGCTTCCAGTGCTGGGCACTTGGATGTAAGGCCCCACAGCAGCGACCCTGCCGGATGTGCTCAGGGGGGACTGTGGTGACGACGTGCCATTCACACGGGTTAGCTGCAAATTGGGAGAAATAGTCAAGACCCTCTGAAGTCAAGAGGAATGGGAGGCCCTAAAAGAAGAAGGCTGAGCCCTGTGAGGAAAGCCCACAGAAGCTGCTCCCAGGAAGCCCTTGGCCTAGAAGAGTGGGACTGGCCTGCAGCCCATGGCACTACTCCTCCCGAGACACCTGCCTGCAGGGCAGCTGTCAGAACGAGGGGCCAGTAAGGAAGAGCCGGCCCCCTGACCACGAACTGCCTCCGACCTTGGCTGCTCTTCCCTCCTGGGGGCAGAGGCACTGGTCAAGGCCTGTGTTTCGCCCACAGCTTCAATCCTGCTCTGCCACTTCCTCTCGGTCCTGCCTCCGGCAGGGACTTTCCCTCTCTGAGCCCATGTGCCTAAGCTTGTAAAATGTGGCTAAGAGGATGTGGGATGTGGGGCTGACTCCAGGCAGTAAGCCTGGCTCCTGAAGGCAGCTCTGCCTTCCTGAGCAAGGACACAGCCACTGCCTAGGAACACAAGGGTCTATGATGGGAGTCTAACTAGAGAGCTGCCGACTCCCAGGCCCCTGTGGGGTTACTGGGGATCCACACTGCCGGCAGTTATCTGCAGAGCTGTGCACTGTGAGCCTGTCCTTGGGGGGAGCACTCGTGACTTCCACCCTGTCTGTGGCCCCAGGACCTGCAGTGGGGACAGCTCTGCAGAGGCTCTTGACTTCTTCAGAGAACCCGTCCAGCCATTTGTGGCAGTTGGCTATGGGCGTCAACTTGGCTCAGCCACAAGAACGACACATTTGGTCAAACACCAACTCAGATGGTGCTGTGAGAGCGTTTTCAGCTGGGACTAACATTTAACTCAGCAGACAGCTTTGGATTCCTGGAGCCCATAGAGTGCAGTTTGCTCTGCGGGTTTCTGACTTTCCTGCCTCTGAGCACATGAGCCATTCCTGCAGATCCCTGTCTCTCCTTCTCCATGGACATACAAGCTTCTGGCTGTCCCTGAAGAGCCCCAGGAGTAAGCATAGAGAATGTGTGTGCCTGCTCTCTTATGGCCTCTGAATAAAATCATTTGAAATTAGTTACTCAAACCACTGACTGACCTTTAAACATTTTGGTTAAAAAAAAAAAAAAAAAGGTGGATCTGTAAATAAGAGGCTGACTGCTAGGCCCACAGAAGCGGCCACTGCCCTCTTCCTCCACCACTGTCCACGCCCATTCCTCCTGGGCAGAGCCTGAAGCCCAAGCTGCCTCCCTCAGCATCCCCAGAGGCAGGGCTGATGGGAAGACATTCTCCTGCCACCCAACCACGAAAGCAGCAGGCGCTCGGGAGGCACAGCTGGGGACACACGAGGGCATATGTGTGCTCAGCAGAATGCACCAGGTGGTGTGTGGGGTGACCAGCTCTAGGACCAGGCCTAGTACAGATGCGACAGAAGAGCCCAGAAGGACATCCATTCTCAGTGAAAGAAAAAGAAAGACTAGGTGCAGACAATGTGACTAATTCCTACAACGCATTTCCACTTAAAATCATATGCCTTTGTATAGATTTGTGTCTGCAGCAAGAACTGGAATCATTAGTAACTGTCACCACTACAGAATAAGATGAAAAGAATTGTCGCATTTGCCTTTAAGTATTTCTGTACTATTTCAATTTCTGTGCAATAACTATTTACTGTCTTTAAAATTCAAAATATCAAAAAAAGCTTTTAAAAAGTAGACCCCTTATATAGCATGCCACTTGAGTTCACAAGACCCTTGCACAGCAGCCAGAGCATGGAGGACATGAGGCTGCACAGGAGAGGGACCTGCCCAGGGGCAGCTCAAAGCAGCAGAGGGTGGTGGCTCCAACCCCAGAAGCCACAACCCTCCAGTGCAGAAGAGAGGATGGCACCAGAGAGGGGCCAGGCTGGGGCAGTTCTGATCCCACACATGGATATTTTTGAGACAGGGTCTCACTATGTAGCTGAGACTGACCTGGAACTCACTATGTAGCCCAGGCTGGTCTAGAACTCACAGCGATCCTCCTGCCTCAGCCCCCTGAGTGCTGGGATTACAGGCATGCACCACCACGCCCAGCTGGATTTGTTTTTTGAGACAGGGTCTTGCTATATGGTCCAAACTGGCCTTGAATTCATTATGTGGCATAGACTGATCTCTGACTCACAGTGATCCTCCTGCCTCAGCCTCCCGAGTGCTGGGGTTTAGACACAAGCCATCATGCCTAGCTTAAAAACTGCTGAGTCTTTGGGAAAGTAAACTTGCTACCAAGGTCATTTTGGGGGTTATGGTATATTTGGTGGAGATGAGGGCTTTGAGAGCGCCCAATGGGAGTGGTTTCGGGAGTCTCCCTGTCACATGCCTGAATCTTCTTGCCATAAAGACGCTCGCGCAGTTCGCTGATGCGCTTGTCCATCATGGCCACCTCCATGTTGCGCTTATTCAAGAGCTCCTTCTGCTGCTGCAGTTTCGAGTTCTGCTCCTGATTAAGCTGGTTACGAATCTGCAAAACAGAGAATACAACTTTTTAAAGCTCTGCGTTAAGAAGTCAGATTCTCAGGCCGGGGATTTAGTTCAGTGGTTCTGCTGCCTGCCTCACAAGCACAAGGACCCGAGTTCAATACTGGTACCAAAAAAAAAAAAAAAGGTCAGATTCTCATTGCCAGGAAGATTTTTAAAAAAGCAGAGAAGAAAGAACCTTGAGTGGGGACGTGTTAACACATCCACTTTACCTGTGTGCTGCAGGCTTTACAGGTGACGCCAGAACAGATTTCCCAGGGAACAGAAAGGACAAATGCCTGCAACCACGTGCCCTCTTCAAAGTTCACAAGAAGGCTGGCCCACCAGGGGCACCAGGGACTGAGACCGGTCCCGGAGCCCCTGGGACAACCCTGGGCAGCCCCTGCAGCAGCATCTCAGAACCCTGGAGGTGTGGGGTATATGCCACACTGTACTCCCACACAGGCCTGAGGCACCAAGGAGCAGCTCCGGTGGGAGGGAGGCTCCTAAACAAGTACAAGGTCCTGAGTTTGGGGGGGCTGCGAGAACAGGCAGTATGAAGGTGTGTTCCATTTGGAAGGTTGGGTGTTGTCCTGTGAATTCTCCAGGGCCCACAGTATGAGCATACACACGTGTGCAGAGAAAGGAGGCAAAAGGCACTTTAAAAAGCAGGACAGCAGTCCAAAAACTCAGAAGTGAATTACATGTCCTCATCACACCTCACTAAAGAAACCCTTAAAACCCTGCACATTTAATACTTGCTTAAAATGTAAAACAGTGTAAGAAACTTAATGGCAGCCATAGTGATTTTATTTTTTTCATAAAATGATACAGTGCTTTTCTTAGCAAGTGCTAAGAAAATTACAAAACTTTTTGGCTTTTAAAAAATCACCTGCTAGATGACAACTTCTGAGAAATGAAGTCCTAAGGGTTATTATGGACATGCTCTGAACTCATGGGCTCACGCTCTCCCCTGCAGTGTGAGAAGGCAGTCAGAGGATGGCCCCACCACAGGAAGGCACCTGTCCTCTCCATACATCGAGGACACAGTGGCAGGCTTGCATGGGAACCCAATCTGCCAGCACCTGGAGCCTCCACAACCATGAGACATAAATGTGGTTTAGGCCACCAAGTCTGTGGTTCTTTGTTACAGCAGCCTGAGCCAAGACAGGGACTCAACACAAGGCAAATAGCTCATCAAGTCTACACACAAACCTTGACACCATCTCACACTCATTTCTCACTAGCATATCTTGCCAGCTGAATTCTACTGCACTGAATATATTCTGAGTGAAAGCCAGTCACAAAGTACCACATCTGTTTGACTCATTCATATGAAGTGTCCAGAACGGGCAAAGCCATAGAGAAAGAAAGTGAATTCATAATACTGGGCTCTGGGCTGACGGGTTATGGGCCAGGTGACAGCTAAGAGACGCAGGGCTTTCGTGCAGGATAGTGAAATGTTCTAAAGTTGATTGTGGAAGAGGATGCACAGCTCTGTGAAGACACAGACACTGAACACAAACCCTAAATAGGTACATTGCATCTCAAGCTATTTAAAAATTATTTTGCATTTAACATAGTTTGTGCCTAGTACATTACACTGTCAGTTTATTTCTACTTCTCAAATATCCATCCCAGGTAAGGAGAAAGCCAGAAAGAGGAGGTCATTCTGCAGACCCAGGTGAGTTACCTGTAGCTCCTGGTAGAGTCTCTTCAGCTCCACTGCGGCCGGCCCTGTCAGCTTGCCATTGTAAGACTGGAATCCATTCAGTTTTCCTTTCTTTAAATCTTCCAATTGCTGACTAAGCTGATCAACTCTTAAAATTGCAGTCTGTACTTCCTGCTTCTTCTCCTGGAACATGGCACTGAATCTTTCTATTTCAGCAGCTGTAATTGCCCAAACAAAAAAATTATTCACTTGCTATCCTATCTTTATTTCTACACACTACTCTCAACTCTGGTTATTATTTAGTGCCAGACCTCAGACTTGAGAGTGTAACACTTGACATGACTACTCACACAGCAAACAATTTTGTATGCATTTTTGAATATTATTTAGGGCAATCATTCCAAAAGCTAGCTTTGTCAAGCCATTGATGACTCTCAGGCACCAGAACAGAGGTCTTTTGAAGGTCTTACTCATCACCTTGACAGAGTAGGCACTAAATGAACGGATAAAAACCCAGAGCCCACCCGGTAACAAAAATGAGCGCTTGTACAGTTTATCATCACGCATGGATTTAATTTAAGATGTTTGTGATGACTGGTCTTGGGGCTGCCCCTTCCCAGTGCACAGGGCTGCTGTCTCCAGGGTGATATTGCTGAGGGTGGACTGAAATACCTAACTGGACTCCATAGAGAGGCATGGGTACTAGGTGCTAATCAAAAATTTTAAAAGAAGTTTCAGATGGAAATGCCAACTACATCTGATTTGATCATTATACATTTCTATATGTATCAAATTTCCATACTGCACTCCATAAATAGGCACAATTAAAGTTGTATAAAGAAGTAACAGGAAATTGATGTAATACAATCTTATCAACTCAAATACAACCTAATTTGGATTTCACTAGTTTTACGTGGACATCTTTTATTTTTTTGCATGAGAGGAATGTATAGTTGAAAAAAAATCATTTGACCCAACTATCCCCACCCTCCTAGATGCAACTAATAGAGTAAACTTCAGTGCACATGCTGTAACGAAATTCCCTATGAATTTGTGACTGAAACCATCAGGCAACCAGGTGTCCACGCTGGAGTGTGGGTACAGGGGGCCATGGGCACATACACAGATTGCCATTCATAATTTTGCTGTAATCAACTTGTCCTCTCATGGCACGAATTTTCTTCAGCTTGTTTTCTTGGGCTTCAACTCGTTCTTTCAACTTCTGAAGCTTCTCATTTTCTGAAATAGACTGCTGCTGGCGGCGCTCCTGTTGCTTTAGAAAGTGTAAACGCTGTTCCTGACAAAGAAGGGAAATCTAGTTTTGCAAATTGAAACTTATGGTTCCCTCATCAATACTTAGAAAATTTAGTGTATTCTTCAGCCTCACCCACCTTAGTTAGAGTTACAGCCACACCAAAGGAGACCGGCACGCACCCATCCACACCCGGCTGAATTATCAAGCGCTTCCTGCATTTCTCTTACTTTACTTTCTAAAGTAAAGGCACTGATTGGCAGAGGATTTTTCACCAGAGAAGAGGGGATCAGTGAGCAGAAAAACCTCCAATGTGTAAGCGACACTGAGCAATTAAGGAATGTTTGCTTTTTACAGGATTAGTTTCTTCCAAAACAAAATCTTTTATGACAAGAAAATATTAAAATAAAATATGGCCAGGTGTCGTGGCACACACCTGTAATCCCAGCACTCAGGAGGCTGAGGCAGGAGGATCACTGTGAGTTCGAGACCATAGTTCCAGATCAGTCTCAACTACATAGTGAGACCCTGTCTCAAAAAACCAAAA